GCTCATACCCGCAGCCAGCCTCAACAAACATCAGGACAAAGGCAGGGGAGAAGCCCTGAACCCCTGAATCCCTGGGGATAGAGTTTAGGGCTCAAAGTTGTTACGCTAAGCCGGTTTACTTTAACTTCCCGACAAGGCTGGTAGACGTTATCCTATCAGCTTCTCAGGAATATAGATAGTAGAAACTAAAAATCATTTTCGAGCAACTTCCAGAGAGCCCTTCTTACCCTAAACCGATTTTAGGGTTCATGTTTTGGGGGGTCTTAGGTCTGGCTTGAGAAGGTAACTTTCCATGAAGATCATTTTCCAAGGTCTACATCCTGGAAGAGCCGAATCCTACCAGCGATGGCTGGCCACGCAACCCCGATAGCCGCATATGAGCTGTAGTCTAAACTCTAAACTCCTCAAAAAGGGGTTGTACAGGGGACTATATAGGGTTCCTATTGCAGGGCCCCATTAAGGGGGATACTAGGAGTTTAGACCGGAGCGCATATTCACCGCATCACAAGGATGCGGTTTACGGTTTAGGTTCATTAGAAAGGCTGTCAAGTGACCAAGTGCAAGGAGAATTTGCCTTACTCGTACACCCCACAGCCTTGTCACAAATCTAAGGCAAACCCTAGAGGCTTTCGATTCACCCTAAACCCATAAGCCTCAACACCCTCACCCGTGTCCCCCAAACCCTAAACTATCACGAGAAACTTGATAGCGACCAAGCCGCTAGAAAAACCTGAGCTCTACACCCTAAATCCTAAACCCCAAGAAAGAAAATCACTGCACTGAAGATTTCTGCTTCGTCGCAGAGCATCGCCAGTTGCCTGAATAGGTTTTAAGGTTTAAGGTCCAGGATTGAAAGATGAGGTTTCCGGACTATGGGTTTAGGGTTTAGGGTTTGCACAAGGGTGTACGGGGTTCATGCAAGGATTATCTTTAGGGACATTACCGCGGAAGATCGGGAATCAAATGAAAAAAGTGGAAACTGAAAGGGAAACTGTGTTCACAACCTCCTTTATGGGAGGCATGAAGGGTCCCTTCAGGGGGACCCAAGGATTCTACCTTTTCAGGGAGTCCATATCAGGCTCCCCCTATTTATGGAAAATACCATTCACAGGGATCTGGGGCTGTAGAGACGAAGCTGTTGGATTTGCTTTGCCTTTAGTTGCTGGGGTTCATATAGTGATTACATTCCCTTATTCCCTTCCAAGAAGCGGTAAGTTAGCAAATTGAGGGCTTTACTGCCATGCTAGCTGATGTCCTGCCGGGAAAAATGCAGGGCAAAACAACATGAAGATCCCTAAACCCTAAACCCTCATGCTGTGGCAGTCACGGTCAGTGACACCATGCCTGCAAACCTTACCCATTTGAAGGCTTCCCAAATTTAGGGGTACGTACCTTTTAAAGGGGTTTATAAGGGTTTTACATGGTCTAGGCTTATTACATGGGGGTTTCCCAAAATTAGGGGTACCATTTTCAAGGTCTCAAAAAAAGGATTACAATATTTTGGGGTCTATATTTGGGTCCCCGTATTTTGGGAAACTACCAGTTCAAGTAAACTTGTTGATGAGTATTTGTCCCCACGCAAAACCCTGTCAGCATTTGGCCTTGTACACATAAAGCGCAAAACTCTTAAAAACATGCGGCCTGTCAAGCCGCAAAGTCCTGATCTAAACTCTCACTCATCAGTGCACGACAATTTTGACAAGTTGTGACGAAGATTTCAATCGTTCTGGATGCCACACCTGAAGACCAGCGTAGAAGTCCGCAGAACGTAGGGGAAGCATCACAATGCTCCCTTTCTTGCATGTTGCTGTGACGCCATGGCAACTGCTGTGATTCCGGTAGCCTACATTGGCCTAGAAACCTTATTATACTATTGTAGTTTCCATTTTCTTTTCCATTATCCCAATATAAACCCTATATTACCCCTATATTATCCCAATATGCACCGGCACCAGCACCGGAGCACCAGCCTACACGTCCTCGTCTAAGGTTTATGTTCAGTGCTTAGGGTTTAGGTAATCATCCTTCAATAGATCCGGCACAACATGGCGGATGTGGTAGCTTCCCTAAATAGGGTGAGCCTCTTGTAGACCCCAAACTACTTTAATCCTTATTCTATGTACCGCAAAAAAGGTACCCCTAATTTTGGGAAACCCAGTACGTCTCCATCCCTAAATAATCCCAGTTTGATCTTCTTTTTGCATGGTCTTTTCCATTTAGTCTTCTGCTATTATGGGGAAATAGACTGCGCTTGAGCTTCCCACAATGCAACCCAATCAGCGGACTCAGAATGACAAGACTCCTACTAGCATGCTTTATGGGACTCCAGGAATAGTAAAAGGTTCGGGAAGCTACTAAAAAAGGGTTAGGCCCATGAAGAGAAACATGACTATCACCTACCTCCAGCAGACTCTAGTAGCATAACGCCCCAACCTCTCCACCTAAGACCCTACACAAAAGAACTCTGAAAAATTGCGAGCAGCATGATTTTGATTCCTCAGAATGATATTTGTGCTTACTTTGGCCAACTCCATGAGCTCCATGGTCCCTCCAGGTGGTTTCGAAGCCCTATGGCCTTGAAGCGGTCTGCAAGGCCCCCAAAGGCGCCCGCTAAGGTCCCGCTAGCCAACGGCGCGCCTCTTCTTCTGAATTTTAAGTTTAGGTTTAGGGTTTAGGGTGAATTAAATTAAGGTTTAAGGTTTAGGGTGTTGGGTTTTTTGATGGGTTTACGCTTTAGGTGGGTTGCTTTGAGTACTGCCACCGCTCAGTAACAGGTGGATAATATTTTCAAGATAGATAACCCTTAGAGTAGACTGTTACCGGGTAGGGGCAGTACCCAAGGGTCCCTAAAGTGACTGTACTGGGAACCCCAAACAAATAGGGAACCCCAAGACTATAATAGGAATATAAAAGGAATGTACCTACCAGGGTACCTATATTCCATTATACTCCTACTATATTCTTGGGGGTTCCCTGTTTGGGGTTCCCATTAAAGTCCCTTTAAGGGTTGCTGTCAAAGAGGGAAGGCCAGGGCAGAGCCTGGCAGAGATGGGTTTTTAGCAAAGAGGAGCCTCATTTGCGGGCGTTTAGGGCTTAGGTTAGGGTTAGGGTCTGGACCCAAAACCTAAACCCCAAACCCTAAACCCTAAACCCTAAAACCTAAAACCTAAACCCCAAAACCCTAAACCCTAAAACCTAAACCCCAAAGCCCTAAACCATGAAGATTGCATGATATCAGAATTCCGCTCGCTGCTGGGCTGAGGCTCAGGGATGACGCTTTACTTCGGAGTTTCCCACAATTAGGAGTACCTTTTTGGGGGGGGGTCCCTATAATACGGATTATAATATTTCTGGGTCTATATTGGGGTCCCCCTATTTTGAGTTTCCCAAAATTAGGGGTACCTTTCTGGGGGATCCCTATAATAAGGATTGTAGCATTTCTGGATCTACATTGGGGTCCCCCTATTTTGGGAAACTACCACTTGATTCCATTGGTAAAGCGTTGCTGCATCCCATGCTTAGTAATAGCTGCTAGGAACTTTGATATCAGGAGCATGTCTTAGCCATTGGGTGCAACCTTGACACTCTCAGCCACCTGACTTGTGTCCAAACTCCAAACGAAACCCGTATGCCGCAAACACAGGGATCTGGAACCTTCGATCAAGGAGCCGATGTGATACCTTCGGCCCTTCAAGGCAAAATGGTCGCAAAGAAGGCGTGAAGAAGATTTCAGCATCACTGTAGCTAGCAGCTAGGCATCGTAGAATCTGCATCTTCAAGCCAAATCCCAGAAAACCCGTGGCATTATCACCGGGCCGCACTAAAGCAACTTGCATAGCGAGCTCTTGGCCGGGCGGTCTTTGCGCAATAATCTCTTAGCAAGGCATTTTACCTTTGCGAAAGTTCATCATCTCGACTGCAGCTTTACGCGGCAGGGCTAGCTCCAACACAAGTTGACAGGGGGTGCATAGCACCTCAAGGGAAGCGGGGGAAGCAGGGGAGATTTGAGGAGATCGGGTATTCCTGCCCTCTATGTATCTATGCGATCCAATGGGTGGCCTACTCCAGTTGAATAGCAGATTCTTGGGCGGTTGAACCGAGTAAGGTGATACTCTTTTGGAATACCACAACTAGAAGGAGGATATACTCTTGCATACTCTTGCTTTGGGACTACAGCATTCACAACCAAAAACGCTACATCAACCTTACATAATCTCAGCTTCCATGTAGTTTTCCATTGGGTCTTCCACATGGTTCCCCAACATTGGGCTTCACATCCCTCTTTCCTATATACAATCCCTGGGGCATCCCTACTGATACTCAGGCAGGAGTTACTCATGCCATGATATGGAGCGTGCTCATCCGCACTCTTGTTCTCCTCATGGAGTAAGTTCTTTAGCATGGTCTTTTGTGCTTGTATAGGATTCCCTAGGAATCTTGGTGAGTGTTTTTTTGGTGTCCAATTTGGCGGACCACCAACAAAACCCAAATCACCATCAATCATGCACGTAGAACTGGGTGGAACTATAGACAGCTGAACTCATGCCAGAGTAGAGAGAACTCAAGATTTGGGGATTTCTAAGTTTAGGGGTCCCTTTTGAGGAGTGCGTAGAACAAAGAATATACTATATCCGGCTATATAGGGTCCATGTTGTTTTGGGCAACACCTGTTTTGGAAGCAAACCAGATAGTGACTTCCTAACGCCTTTACGCCTTTAGCCGCATTTTCATTCAGAAGGCTTACCTAATGAATGGAAAGAATGATGAGCTTTCGTATCAGGGCCCATGTCGCAGAAATGAACGTTGAGGATGACACCCAAAAATCTTTCTACTAGCACTACCGAGCCGTTCATTTAACTAGCAGAGATCCTCCTGAACAAGCAGCATGGCTTCCGTTATGAGGCATGTTGCATACTCGGGAGCGTGACCCCTAAATGGAACTTCAGATCCTCCCACCCCCGGAACTTAGGGATTCGGGTTGAACTCAACCCCAGACAGGCCTGTTGCTGGGCCGGCTGTGGCCGTGGGCATTGCCATGTTGCGAATGCTCTGAAGGTACTGCCTGAAATGAGCCAAACTCCTAGTACCCCCGTTTAATGGCCCCTAGGCCCTAGAATGCTCCCTATATACCTATATAACCCCCTTTACGTAAGGAGTTTAGACTAGAGCTCAAATGGATTCAAGGCTGAGATTTTGGAGCAACCTTTTTCTGGCTGACTTCCAGGCACGGGGATCATCAAAAGCAAGACCTCTCGCTGTCTCAGCTCTTGACATGTAAGCTTAGGGCTCAGGCTCTGTGAGCTGCTGCTTCTGCTTTAGAGACACAGGCCCTAAACCCGTAAACCCTAAACCCTTGTATGCGTAGGAGTCGGACTCGTAGTGGTAACCTACTTCTTCAGAAAGTAGGCAGTAGAAAGTAGAGGCGCGCGGCACCTCTCGACTTCTGATTTCCCGAAACCCATCTAGTTCTTCTTCTTCACTGAACTCTAGGCCATTCCAAACAAAGCGCTCTGTTCGTTCCGAGATTGAGACATGGGGGTTTGTGAAGAGGGGTACCTTGAGTCCCCGTAATAAGGACTGTTCTATCTTGGGTCTATATTGGAGCCCCCCTATTTATGGAAACTACATGAACCTACCGCATCCCCAAAAAAGATTCCCGACATTCTCTCCACATAGCCACGGAGCAAGTATCGAACACCAGACGCATCGCCGCCCCCGTTCTCGTAAGCCTGCACATTAGTCAGTTACCGAGGGCTTTGGCTTAATGAATTGCATGTGGAGCATAGAAGGATCTGAGCATCAACATAATGGTTCTCTTCTGGGCATCCCGAAGAAGAGAGCCAAAACCCTGTAGTCCCCCTTAGGTAGATAGGATATGGCTGTGGGTATATCAAATTAAGATCCCCATATAACATATAACCCATATTCTATCTACTTAAGGGCGGCTATAAACCCTAAAAATGCTAAACCTGGCACGAGAGCCTCCACTAAGGATTGCAGCTGCTGCTGTGAAACTGCAGGCTTTGTCAGGACCTGAGCCCGGAGCCACTTTACACGGTGAAGCGCCTAGCGTTTAAAGCTTCTTGGAAGTTCTGAGTAATGCTAAACCAGTCAGGGTGTAGGGTTGGCAGATTGAGGGTGCAGGTTAGGGAGGAAGGCCGCAACCTCATAAGTCAAATAGATTGTGGTACTCGGAGGTCCTTTTAGCGGGTACTTTGCGCGAAGCCTGATGTTGCAGGGGTGCACGCAAGACAGCATTTGTTCCATGTCGGACTTGAGCTGAGGTGATGATTATACTGACACAAAGCATGCTACATATACTGGCGTTCGACTATCTGCACTGGGCAACGGAACAGTAATGGTATTCTTCAGCACCTGCACACTGACTTTGATGCAACAGCTGGGCTTAAAAACCAAACATCCCGAGTAAAAAAGAAACGCCCTAAACCTTGAAAACCCTAAACCCTAAATCACCGTAGCCCTTGACATTACGTAATCCCTATAAGAATTCAACAAAATGCTGCAATGCTGCAAATACCAAAAAAACAATGGTGATCATACTAGTAAGAATAATGATGATATTCAACCATCCGTCAAACAGGTTTTTTGGAGCCTAGAGCCCACTTCGCTGTCTGCACACACCCGCAGAAGAAATCCAGCCGGCCCGTATGTTTTGCAGTGTCCCCTGAAGATAAAACTGACCAGGGCCTGAAATTTTGAAGTGCGGAGGCAGGGGTGGAAAGCACATACCCCGCACGCACTCTGGAAAGGCAGTGTCCTCCTGAATAACAGGCTTTTCCTGACACATGTTTCAGGATGTAGAAGTAAACGTTGATCGGCATTTTGTCGTACGCCCAATGAAATCCCACTTGAGCTGCGTCTTCGTTGAACCCACATAGACTTGCTGTGACTCCATTCTGCCTTGGTGGGTAAAGCTGGAGACCCAAAGTTTTTCCTTCGCAGACCATCGCTGGGGCTCAGCTCGTTAAAGAACATAGTGTATCGCCTGAAGAAACTCATAGTAACCGCTGTTGTGCCCTCTTGCTAGTGGGTTACTAAACCCATTCATAAACCAGGGTCTCACCAAGTTCAAGCTTTCCTACTTCCAAGCGAAGCGAAACAATGAGAAACAGGATTCAGGTCTGAAGCACCGGCATGCGCTGATTAATTCTGAGGGGCGCTACTACCTTAAAACAATCACTCATGGAGATTCTGCGTTACCCCAGACCCCTGATCAATAAACCCCCTCCCCTTAATAGGGATTATAATAGGAATCCTAATATTTAGGCCCTTAAAAGGAGGGGGTTTACTAATCGTGGGTCTACATTACCCAGCAAGCAACATTAAGCAACTTAGGCTGCTACAAAGAATGTTGGGGGAAGCTATGTTGCAGGTTCCTATCTGAATCACCGGGCGCGGCACAAGAACCATGATCGCCTCAGGACACATGGGCAGGGAGTACCCGGCGTAACAGCCTTTCTGTACAGGACTGGTACTAAGATGGAAGGACTATGAAAGATGCCTTCTGGAGAAAACACATGACATCACCACTTTATGGGGCTCACTCATTAGCAGCATGCAAATACCCAACCCACAGTGAGCGGCAATAAGCAAACGAGGACACACTGAGAGATAACCTTGACGAACTGCAGCTTTCCTCACCCCACAACACTGCAACAAGCACAGATGGCACTTGTTTGTCGTGGAGAGCCAGGCCCGAGATTCAAGTCCAACAATGTCAAAAAGGTATCACCTAGACTCCTTGCAAAGAAAGAAACAAGGAGACATCTTGGTTGAATCCAGAAAAGCCTATCAAACGAAAGCTAGGGCGTGCCAAGGGTCCAACAACTATTGCAACTATCATTCCTTCCACTATAAGAGCTATAGTCTAAACTCCTAGTATCCCCCTCAATAACCCTATAGCGTCCCCCATTTAATCCATTACCTAACCCCTTTAAGGAGTTCAGATTATGGCTCATTGTCCTCATCCCGAACGCTCCCATTCACCCTGACAATCCTTCCATCACAACACCCGAAGCCCCGCACAACACCCTGACCTTAACGTCCAAACCTGTAGCCGCAAACTTGCTTTAGGCATCCAATGTCTCTGCCACATCCCCACAAACCACCGTCAGGCGCCACAGGGTTGGGCCCTAAACTCTAAAATCCCAAAACCCAAAGCCCCTGAGGACTCGAGATCCTAGACCCAAAGGCCCAGATACGCGTAGACCTGGCAGCTTCCCCTATAAAGCCGTTTGAAAACTAAAGTCCCCCTTAAGTAGATAGAATATGGGGTATATCAGGATCTTATTCTATTATACCCAAAACCATATTCTATCTACTTAAGGGGGACTTTAAACCACTAAACCCCTAAACCCTGTACCCCTAGACCCTGAAACCCTCAACCCCTGGTTTCCATTCAATTTCCATTTTCTGTTCCATTTGATTCTCCATTACACTACCCCTAATTCTAGGAGACACCCACGAATATCTTCTTCCCGTCCCGGACACCCGGAGCTTGTCCGCTAGTGTCCCCTTCTGCGACGCTCCCAGGAGCTGCTCCTGGGGTATGGTGCAGTGAAGTAGGGTTTAGAGGGTTTAGGCACGCGCATCGGACTCAGCAGGCACGGTAGGTTAAGAGGGAAGAGGGTTGAGGGTTCAGAGTTCAGGGTGTAGGGTTTAGGGTTTAGGCTTGGGGATTGTTAGAGTTTGGGGCTGAGGGCTTAGCGTCTGGGTTTTAGGGTTTAGGGCCAGCATAGAAAGCATAACAGCTCATGAATAGAACACTAATACGAATGACATCAGTAACACTAAACAGACTGATCACACAATTAAAAAGCACAAGAGACAGTCAACAAATGATTGCAGCAGTGACATGCACGTCCAAGAGGGAGAGATGGGGAGTGTATTAGCGTGATTTTGACAATACCCCATTGGGTTCAAGGCTGCTGATGCTGGAGATGCAGGGCTCATGCCTTTCTAGGATTTAGGCTTAGTATGGTATAAGGGAATATATTGGGGTTATATAGAGGGTATATAAAGAGTTGGGGAGTTGGCATGTTCCTGTTGCTGCGGGGTCTTATTAATTATAATATACCCAAAACCATAATCTATATATCTACTTGACGGGGACTATAACTTGACAAGGCCACGCCGATTTCCGTCTGGAATACAGGGGCAAGCGGGAACGCGAGGCCTAAGGGGCATGAAGCCTACGAGAGGTTCCCCTGTGAACCCCCCACTCAAACTTGCATTGAAGTGCCAGCGTGGACACAAATAATGTCCTAAAACAGCTTTACGCCGATACGCCGGTACGCCGGTACGCCGATCGGTGCGGAAATACGCCGATACGCCGATACGCAGCTCAGAGGGCCGGAGAGAGGGAAAGCGCCGATACGCCGTTCCGGAGCGGCAGTGCTCCGATGTGCCGGCACCCGGCGGGTCATGCAGAAGGGAAATACGGCAATGCGCCGATACGGCGCCTGGGGGCGGGAAACGGTGAGATACGCCGATACGCCGCTCGCGGCGCGGAAGCATGGAAATACGCGGATGATATGCCGGTACGCCGCTCGGGGCGCAGAAGCAGGGAAATACGCTGATACGCCGGTACACGGCTTGGGACGCAGAAGCAGGGAAATATGCCGATACGATCCGATACGCCGGTACGCCGCTCGGGGCGCAGAAGCAGGGAAATACGCCGATAACGGTCCGACGCTCGGGGCGCGGAGGCACGGAAATAGGCCGATACGCCGCTCCGGGCGCCGAAGCAGGGAAATACGCCGATAACGGTACGCCGCTCAGGGCGCGGAGGCACGGAAATACGCCGATACGCTGGTACGCCGCTCGGGGCGTGGAAACACGAAATACGCCGATGCGCCGGTACGCCGGTCAGGGGTGGGAGAGGCGGAGGGGGAAATCCGCCGATACGCTGGTACGCTAATCGCGGGGCGGAGCATATTTCGGATCCCAAGAGATGGAAACGCCACTCCGTCAAATTGGTCAATGTGACCAACTCCGGGGTGAGGGGGATGTGGGGGGGTCTTGGGGGTTTTCTGGGGTCATGTGGGGACTCCTTCGACTAGGCCGGCTTATGGAATGTTTTACGGACTGGAAAGACTGGACAAGGACACCCCGTCGGGGTCTCTTGGGGGATTATTGAGGATGTCTTGGAAAGGTACGTGGAGGAAATTACGGACCAGAAACGATGGAAAACGAGACTCTGTCAAGTTAACTAGCCTGTTTAACAAGGTTCGGGTGGAGAGCGTCTTGGGGGTCTTGGGGAGTATGCCGGAATACGCTAACATGCCGTAATTACGATGCTGTTTGCGTCCATTTTGGGTCATGGTACTGTGCCAGGAAAGAGCGACTGCGGAACCACGCCCGCGTGCACTGGGCCATACACTGGGTATGATCCGGGTACGCCGAGTATGGCCGGGTATGCGCCGGGTACGTCGGGCATGCGCACCGTCATTATGGTTAGGGCATGATGCTCAGGTCAGCGGGTGCTCTTGGAACACGAAGGAACGCGAAGGTTATTATGGTTTGGGCATGGATGCACTGGTGACCGTAGGCTCTTGGAACACGAACCTAATTGTGGGTTTGGGCATGGATGCTCCAGTAATCGCGCGCACTTGAAAATCAATGTCATTATGGTACGGGCATGGATGAAACGGTGACCGTATGCTCTAAGAACACGAACTGTTTTTTTGGTTTGCGCATGGATGCACCGGTAATCGCACGCGTTCGAACATGAACGATAGTATGGTTTGGGCATGGATGCAGTGGTGACCGTATGCTCTTGGAACATGAAGGTCATCATGGTTTGGGCAAGGCTGCACT